AATATTGTTATGCTAACTTTTTAAAATTCCTTATCACTAAGAACATAATTAATTCTTCAAACCAGAAGGCGAAAAGGATGCAAACAACTTATAAAGCTCAAATATAACAACCAGGATCTATGGCTCCCTAATTTATTACTGGTCAAGTCTTTAACCAAAGGAGAAATATTAGTCACCCTTAGTCAAGAATTTGATATGTCAATTATATCTCAATAAAGCTGGAATAAGTAAAGAATAGAATATTTTAAAAAAATTTAACCTAGAACTGAAAAAAGAACGAGGAGGATTTTAGAGATATTAACCACTTAAAGTCTTACTCTAATCTCAATTGCAAATCACACTGCAATGGTCAGTTCTGGCTATAAAGGTTGTAAAAAAGAAATGAAGGAAATAGGAAATAAATAGACAAAATTGTTTTTGATGCAAGAATCAAACTTGCAGAGGAAACTGTAATAAAGCATAAAAGCACTGGGGGGAAGTATCACTAAAAGGATCCCATCTGTGAAGTTTCTAAGGAGGACTAAGTGGGCATAGAAACACGGCAGAGAGCTGAACGTGCACCGGTTGACAAGTAAGGAGCTCCTGGGGGGTCTATGACGCCTAAAATGGCCAACAGCGGACCGTCAATGGAGAGAGAGTGTATTCGAGCGTTTCTGTTGGCCATTTTCCTCTATCGGTATTAAATGCACGTGATAGATTACCTGAAATCCCAAACTGCCACAAAACCCAACAGGTTCATTGTTACATGTACTGCCGCCTCTTTCAGGAGTCTCTGCTTGCAGCACTTCCTGGTGGCTCTGCCACCTCCTCCACAGGGCTTCCCAACCTCTGAGCCCTCAAGATTGGCCAAACCCGCGCACTGAACAATTGCTCAACGGAGTATTACACAGATTACCACCGTGAACGCTGTAAAGAAATAACAAAGAGCGCCGAGGACCAGCCTTTACTCTGGTGCCTGGCCAACAGACACCGACTTGACTCCTTTTTCGGGACCTGAAAGTGTTGACACCCCACACGTCCAAGGGCAGGTGGTTTCCTTACCTGCATAGAAGCGAATGAGGCAGCCAATCTCCGAGTCCATGCCTTCCTCCTGCACCCTCCACAACTCCCCAAATCCCAGTTGAAAGAGGTAGTCATTTTGGATCTGCAATGGCTTCTCGTCCGCCTCCAGGCGCCGGGTGGTCTCTCCGTGGAACTGCACGTAAAGGGTGGGCAGTGCAGGCGCCTTCTCAGCGATCGCCCCGGTCCCACCCGGGATCGCCTGGGGGAGGCCAGAGGCCACGGCTGCTGCCGCCTTTTCCTCCCTAGGAGGATCGCAGGTGGCCCCGTCAAGGCAGTCGACGGCTCTCGGGGCTTTTGGCTGCAGCAGAGGCGGGGAGGCCAGCGGGGAAGGCGGCCGGGCATCCGCTCCGGGCCGGGTGGGTGCAGAGCGGTCGGGCGGGCAGGACTGGCCCGGAGCTCCCGCTGGGGGTTGGGAGCCGGGGTCGGCCCTCGAGCTCCCTCGGACGAGGACGAAGGAGGCCGCCCCCCGCTGCTGTAAGGGGTCCAGCCGGTCAGACACGCTCTCGGGCGCTGGGGGCTCAGGGCTGGAAGCTCTCCGGGCGGAAAACGGGCCCCGCGACCGCCCCCGTCCAAGGGCCCCCGGGTCGCTGGGCTCGCCGGGCCCTGGAATCC